CCCATATAAAAACACACATACACACTCGCCTCGACACTCGCACACCCACACACACACACACAGTCAGACATAAATGCATAATGCAGCAACAATTGCAACTCGATGGTATTGTTTACTCTTCCAAAATTTATTAAGCTTAAAGTATAAAATGAAACGAATGTATGGCGGCGGATATATATATATACATATATGTATATATATATATATATATATATATATATATATGATATAATACGATATGATATGACATGATATATGGATATATGGATATATGATATATGTAGTAATGGTGTTGCTTAGGATTGTGACCAGGTGACGAGAAGAGAATGAGGGACCGCTGCTGATAATTAAGTTTATTTTTTATATAAATATGATTGCAAATAGTAATTTTTTATTCATGTGTGCAAATAATTAAATAAAAAAATATTGAAAATTTATTACTTATAATTATATATATATACATACATTATATACGCCCCCGCCCCTATCGTAAAGATGTGTATAAAATAACAACAAAAACAAAATGCTAAAAAATAACAAAAAATAACTAAAGAAAACATAAAAAATTATATGTTAAATTCTTTGTTTAATTATTGTTTCTTATGATTTTCCGGAAGGGGCCTCACTCGGGCCCCGCCCTTAGCCCTTGCTTTATATGTTTTCTAAAACGAATTCGAACCAAAAACAAAAAGAAATACTCGGAAAAAAACTAAATAAAATTCGTAGTCAAAAATTATTATTACTTGCTAAATTTTCGATTTTTTATGTCGCGTCCCAAATTTTTTATATACATATGTTTTATACAATAAATATTTAATTTTAATTACGCAAATATATATATATATATACAAAATATATATAAACATAATTTCTATTGTAATTAACGCTGCAAAACAAAAAAACAAAACTCATAACACATAGTAGCAAAATCTTGTGAAAAAATCATATAAACAAAAAAGAAACGGAAAACTGAATACGAAACTCATGCAAACATTTCTACGCTAGATGGCGCCAGCCGCACTCTGAAGAGAGCGAAGAGAATTTCTTTTATTTCTCATTTTCGTTTGCCGTCCCATCCAAAATGCACTCAGTTCCACGTTCTACCCAACTACACCCGCCTACGCCGCGAGCTAAGATACAAAAAAAGAAGTCGAAAAAATACAAAAAAAAGAGTGAAAAAAACGAGCGGAAGACGTGGCATAGAAGAAATCAATAAACAAAGAGATGAAATGAAAGAAAAACAAATTTTAATAGGGTAAAAAACGGAAAACTAAAAGAAAAACCAACCGAAATGAAAACGCAATGAGGCGTAAAACAGTAAAAAAGGAGAATATAAAATAAAAACAAAATGTAAAACATGAGAACAAATTGTGAGATGATCACAGAGAGATTGACAGACAGAGCAGCAGAAGAACGGCTCAGAGTGGAAGAAGTGGAAGAAGAGGAAGAACAGGGCATCTCCGATAAAACGATACGATTTGTAGACTATGCAAGTATTTTTATGTATTAAAGGTTATGTTGTAAGTTTTTATCACAATATTTGTATTGTAGCTGCTCAGTGTTTTATATGATTATATAAAATGAATATATAAAAAAGAAAAAAACCGAAACAAAAACCCGAAAAAAATAAACAAATTACAACCAACCGGACAGACAACAAAAACAACAACAAAAATTATTGTATTACATACATCTTATATATAATAAATATGCTTCTTAATAAAAACAAAAAAAAAAAACAAAAAGAAATAAATAAAATTAATTTATGACGGTGGATTTTCAGAAGACACGCAGAACTAAGCTGGGGTAGCTTACAAAAAAAAACCAAAAAAAAAAAAACTAAAAAACAATAAAGTAGAAGTACATGGAAAAAACAAGTATGAACCTTGCTATTGGGTGGAACTGACTGCACGATGCTCGCTCAGCAAACGAAAGGCCAGTAAAGGAAAGTCTTGGAGTTTTATGATTTGATAGAAGCTCTATTCCTTCTCCTTTTCTCGCATATCAAATTCCCAGTTACAGATAAATGTGTAATCTTAACTGAATCTCAAGAGTATCTCAGCAGTTAACCGGGTTGTTAATTCTGATTTTCATCATGCCAAAAATCAGTTAAATGTTTCAAAAATATATCTTCCTAGTTTATCAGCTTACTGCCGAAACTTAAGTAGAGAGTGATAGTAGCACTGCCAAAGAAATATCTTAAGACATATCACATGAGAGATTCCACTATATCATAGCGCTAAGCCGAGTAAGCTCTTTTCAGTCTGTTGGACGAGCAACAGAACTGAAGAAATTAATTATGATACTAGAGTTATCTTTGACGTATACCTTCTGATAACCTGCAAAAAGTTGCTGCAGGTTTCCTAATGCTTAGAATAATTAAATTATCTCTGCCTTCGATAGCAGGCCACGCCGGGGGCGACAGCTCAAGTTCAGGTGCCAAAACAGACTTTTTATAGAGGTGTACTATAAATGTCTACATAAAACATAGACCTACTTAGTACAGTATATACCTCACATAGTATATTCGTAATTTAATTGTGGTCTGCAAAAACCCCAAAACTCGGATCGAATCTAGATATGAAAATCATAAAATTTTATTCTATCACGATTATGACCATTGACCAAATTGGCGTCTGACTAGTCACAATTTAGATTCGTCACTCTATGAGTCCATAAAATAGATCAACAAAAAAGGTGTATAGAAAAATTATGAGAGACTTGACGAAGATTTGATACTCTAATGGATACTCTAAGTAGCACATAGAAGAGGAAGTAGTTAATTGCTTAGAGAACGTCAGCCTGTGGTAAATACTTCCATGATATAGGGCTAAGGGTATCCCAAATTCGAAGTATTTAGTATTTTTGTATTGCTCATGGCTTCGCCTACGCAGTAAATTTAGATTCTCTAGCTTTTGTGGTATTCACGTTACGCTCTAGTTATCGATTATTGTTGATCACATAGAAATGGAACTAGTTATCGAAAACAAATGATAAAGCCGTACTGCATAAGGTATATAGGAAAATCCATAAAATATATCAAATCTGTATGTATTCATACGGACAGACAGAAGGACTTGGCTGGATTGACTCAGTTCGTTGTCCTGATCAAGAATATATATGCACTATGGGATCTGTCACGCCTCCTTCTATATGTTACATACATCACAAAGCCAATGTACTCTGCTTTCTCATATCTCTCTATATGAGTCAGTTTTCCGGTAAAATATACTATATAGCTGACTGATCTGACCTATAACTGGAAGAAAACCGGACTTCACTACATAGGCTCTTATCTTATAGACTATATAAGATTAGAGTCTGATTTTATGGACTCGATTGGTCATGCAAGTGGCAAAAGTTTTCTACTGCATTGGCTTTATAATACTATGTAGCTTTGGCCTGAGGCATATAACTATATATTTATTTATTTCTATAACTAGACATTTGCCTGCCTGCAACAGCTTGTGACCCAGAAATGCCAATCAAATTGACATTCAATTCGCATCTGACCCCATCATAGACACAGGCTGGCGATAATCGATATTTGACCTAGGCCAATATAGAAATGACTATCGCAACAAATTCCAAAGACTGACTGACTGCCGCCCACGCATACCTAGCCCCGCCCCCGCGTACTCCACCATGGATAATCGACGACTAATTTGATGGCTGCCTAAATGCTTGAGGGGAGTCTAGTTGGGGGCCTTAGCTGCCTTAGTCTAATCAATGCAAACACGTTGCAAGAATTACCATTGGCTGGCACACCCACAATCGCGCCCACACTCAGCCCCCTTCGGTTGTCAACGCGCTTGGAATTGTGACATTTGGCAATTTATTGAAGACGATTTCCAATCAGAGCAAATCATGCGAACCGAATCTAATATGGCAAGCGGAATTTTTATGGCTGCGTGCTGAGCGCATAAAAAAATAAAAGGTAAGTGTGATATCGGCTAGATCCGTCAAAAAATCCCCTCTTCACTTCCCCACCCCTCCCACTCTTTGGTTCTGACTTAAATATGAAAGAAAGAAAACCTAACGTAACCAACTCTGACGAACGCTTTGTCCTTTGTGGTGAGCAGCATAGCGTGCACATTGCATGTACTATGGCAACTAATACACTGAGAAAAATATTTAGTTAGTTTGTATAAGGTATAAGGATTTGCAGCATGAACTGCAGATAGCAAGTAGCGGCGACTGAGGTGTATTTATTTATATAAAAAATTTAAGGAAATTAAAAAAAAATTTTTTTATTTATTTTTTATTTTTATATATTTTATTTTATATTATATATATATATATATTATATTTTTGTATATCATACATATAAAAAATTAGAACGTTTTAAATATTTTATTTTTATTTATATACTAAATTATTGCATAAATTAAATTTTAAAAAAATCTTTAATATTTTTTGCTTTGAATGTGAAATTAAAAAATATGAAAATTGTTTTTTAAAGAAGAATTTAACAGTTCTTAAAACAAATATTTAATTTAATAATAATATTTATATGATAATAATCAATCATAAAATTCCTTTTTCAAATTAAGGAGGGGGAAAGAGTAGCAAAGCGATGGACTAGAAAGAGATAGATGAGATTAACACCTATAATTATCAGATAAAGATATATTGGATCCATAAATATTTTATGCTTGATTTCAAGAACATATGTAATCTGTAATCGAGGAATTCACTTTGATGTTTGAAAAGATTTCTAACACGTCCTTCAGCATACCTCGCCAAGTTGTGCACGATTTCGCCGAGTGTAGGGCAGCGCGGGGAGGGAAAGTACAGCGAGATAGATAAGTATTGCACGGAGCTGGCAGTCGTTGTCGATTCGCTCACAGCATTGAATTGGTGTTAAGCACGAACCGAGCCAATTGGCAATATGGAAATGGAAAAGGAAATGGAAAATGGTAAATGCTAAATGGAAATCAGGCAGAGTTGTCCCCAAGCTGGGCGGGCAGGCATGGAGCTTGGCAGCAGTTGCTGCCGTTCGTTGCAGGCGTGCGGAACATGTCGAATCAATTGTTTTTTCTCAGCCTCGCGGACATATTCTCCGTTTATCCGGCCATCTTCAAGGAGCGCAGCAAGCAGCTGCGCAAGACCAAGCAAATCTATCTGCCCAGCGACGAGGAGTGGCAGGACAAGATGTACTTCATGCTGCTCGAGATACAGCGCCAGGTGAACGAATCCTCCGACGTGAACATCTCGCTCAAGGACATCGACAAGCGCGATAAGCCCGCCTTCGATCCGGAGCGCATCACAAAGATCGTCTCGCCCTGCATCAGTCCGAATGGCCGTCGGAGTCGCGTGCTCAAGCATTGTCATGCGACTACAGTGAAGATTCGTCTGAAGTCCAGTGCCCGCTGGAATCTGCCGACCATTGCCAATGCAGCCAAACTGCTAAGGAAACCCGCTCTGCCCGTTGTCTTTCAGAATGAGCATGAGATGCGCCTGGCTTACTCGCTAATCTATGACGTCTTTCGCTGTGTGTGCACACATAACCTCACATTACGCGTACATCTAACCTCAATTTTGTTAAATTTTAGATAAATCAGTGTTGTGTAACGCCTTATCGGACATTTGCTTCTTCGAACAGGAGCGCTATAAGAAGGTAGGTGTTTAATGAATTGAAAAAAGTGTTCAATGTGATTGATTGACTGATTGAGTGATTGATATTAGCTGTAAGGATTTAACTGGGAGAACTAGGCAACTGCAACATGATTTGCATGTTTAGAAAAAGCTTAAAAGTGGGAAATTTGAGTAAAAAATGAACTGTTCATCATAATTGATTGACTCTTTACTTGATTGATGACCAAAAAGTAGAAGTGCTTCATACCCAAAAATATATGTTTTGAAGTTGAAAGTTGAAGTTGAAAAAGTTTCAGCTCGAATTTGATAAAAAAAAACTAAGATTATGATTGATTGATTGACTGACTGATGGTTGTGCCTAGTGTAAGACAGTATGTAGGCTGACTCGAAAAGAAATGGCTGAAATTTGGCAAAATATATATGTAGGGTATATGTTATGATTGATTAACTGATTGATTGATATTCATTATCGAATTATCTCACTATCAGCTGGCTGACGAAGCTAACGAAGTGTGACTATAATTTGATCAGTTTATTATAAATGATTGACTGATTGATGAGCAATCCCGAAGCTGCAGCCCCACTATGAAAGAAGTTATTTACCATGATTGATTGCCTGATTGATGATCAATATAGAAAAGTGAAAGTTGGGTAAACAGAAAACATAAAATTTTGGCTATAAGCGCAATATTCTAGTAACATTGATTGACTGATTGGCTGATTGATTTACTAATTTAGTGGCTGTTTAGCTACACAACTTTTAGTATATATGACTCTATTTAACTCCTTCTACAGTACCGTGACGATGAGCAGCGCATTTGGCTGATGCTCTTCGAGCTGTACGATCGCCATTTCAGGAATCGCAACTCGGAATACCAAGCCGAGCAGACGCAACTGTACAAGGAGGCGGAGGTAACAGGTGAGTGCAAAACTCGACTTGTTCCCTTGATTCTAGTGTCGCCTTCTCCACAGAAATTGCTGATGTGCTTTGGCAGCATCGCATACGCCTGGCTGCGTCCATATCGCGCATGCGAATTGGCGTTGGCGCTTTGCGCATCTCCCAGCTGCTGCCCATTCATCTGCAGAACGAGAAGGTGGCCATAGCTGCGGCCAATCCTGTGGTCACCGGCTGGATCAATCCATTTCTGCTACGGTAAGACTGACAGCAACTGCTACAACTATAACTAGAAGTTACTTTTTGTTAACACAGCAACAAGACGGAGGCCAATAAAATACTGGTGGAGATGGGCTTTACGGTCCACGGGCCGGATGATGAGCAGCCGCTGCTCGAGCAACACTGCAAATGGGATAACATCTGTCCGCTGGTCATCTCCATCATACCCAAGAATCGCAGCGAGTTCACCAAGTCAAAGCTGATGACCGAACATTATTTTATCATGCAGGTTGAGTTGGGTCCGAGCCACAGCGAAACACAAAGATTTTCATCATATTTTTCGCAGGATAAAAACTTTTCCTATGGTCCGGCTATAATGTCCAAGCTCATGGACTACTTTGAGCTATATGGTAAGTGGGATATCTGACTGTATGAGCTCTATATATACATCCGTTCAGGTGACATTCTGCAAACCCATGTGGACTCGCCACGTGCCACTGCTTACCTGGCTGCACTTGTTTACTCTGTGAATCGCGTGAATAACTTTTATGTGTATGGCGTGGGTGCCAGTCTCAAGGACTATCGCCGATATATGGAAACTATAGGCGTAAGATATATATATATATATATATATGTCATTCCCTGCCCATATCCGCCTTGAGCTCCATTTCTAGGTGAACAACATACGACTCTTTGGCGATGCCTTCACTTCGTTTCCCATGGAATCCAATCGCTTTCGCAATGTTGTGGGCGTGTTTGCCACGCCTCCAAACTCTTTCAGCGCCATCTCTGATCCCATAGACTTGATATGCTCGCGTGGCGGAGATCTGAGCATGTTGGAAGTGCTCACCGAATCGGAGGTCAGCGATGAGGGTAAGACGCGAGTCGGCTGCATACTCGAGGAGCAGCTGCTCACGCTGACCATGTCCATGTCCCGTCCTCAAGTGCAGTTCGTGCTCTATCAAACGCATTCGATAGTCAGCACTGAGAATGAGGATATGGTGCAGCATGTGCTGGGCGTGATCAATAAGCTGGCTTTAGAGAAACATCGTCATGCCTACAAGGAGATGAAGAGGCTGGAAGCCCTTGCCGAGGCGGAGGCAGCTAATATACCCGCTGCAGCAATGCCCAAGGAATCGCCGCGCAAAAAGGATAAGATCAGCGCCGAGGATAAACGCAAATCCCAGCCAGAGCTTGCAGCCAAACAGGGTGACCCAGCGACTCCTGCTGTGCAGCTGCCGCGAGTGGACAGCATTGATTTGATTGTTACGCCGGATATCGATGAATTCGTGCAGGACATCGTGCCCGACATCTGCATCAATCAGGACAACTGCATCGAGCATCTGTCGACGGGCAGCTACCTCTCACTCATACGTCGCAAGACACTGACGCAGCTTAATGAAAAGTATCTCATACGCATGGCCGAGCGGCGTGGCCTCTTCGGCAAGCCGGAAAAGGATAAAACGAGGACGCGCGGCGTGAAGCTGCAGGAGGTCAACGAACCAACGCTGCCAGATGCCAACTATGACAGCTGCTCAGCCGGCTCACGCAGCGGGCAACAGCATGCGGTAAGTGGGCGAAGGCAGAGATATATTGCTATATATATATAACATTTGAGGTTAAGTCTAGTTGTTGGGTTGCTCAACTCAGCTATCTATATGGAAATCTAAAAGTCTAATGAGGCTTAAGAGCTTCAATTGAATCTTATGAATTCTAGTTATATATATAAGTTCTATATAAGTTCTCTGCTAACCTTTACTAAGTTTCTATCCTAGTCTTCCAAATATCTTTCTATAACTCTACCCATACATTTGATGTCTTTATTCATAATAAAAAATAGATTAAATTTCCGTGTTTCAAGTCGGTTCTGATTGGCTCTTCAATATAACGTGGGTTAACATTCCGATTATTTTTCAATTTTTGGCCATAAAATTGGAGAGATGCCATAAATCCAAACTTAAGTTGTCTTATCGCAAATGCGAATGCTTTGGCTATTAATCACGCATACGAGTTTTATTTATAGATCATATCTAATAAGGTTCAATTAGCGATTGAGTCATATAAGTTCCGTATTACAGGTCGGTTTAGCTCATATATATGTGCATATTTAAGACCAGACAAATCGGAAATCTACTTAAGTCAACGAAAAACGATAAGTTTTCATTGAAAACTTATGGCAGATAAGATATGAGATATATATCGTATAGTTATCATGCCTATTGGACTTAAGTATGTATATATCTATACATTTTAGACCATATATCTTATAGACGTTATAAGATAGGGATCGTATTGTCTTTGCGAAATTTAATTTTCCTAAATAATTATATTCAGAATTCGATCAGATATTGATAGCTTACATAGATATGTGAGAGTAAGTAAAGCCCATTTGATTTATAGCATACATTTTGGGCAATGAGAGATAAGATATACGATATGTATCGTATAGCTCTTGTTAATATGAGTCATTTCTATATTCTATATAAGCTATGAATCTTAGAATTTCTTATTCTATCTGAAGCGTATGGCTTTTGTTAAGCTTAATCTTCCTTATACTGCGATGTACGATATACGATTAATGATATACGATTAATGATATACGATTTACGATATACGATTTACAATTTACGATATACGATTTACGACACACGATTTACGATATACGATATACGTTATACGATTTACGATATACGATTTACGATATACAATTTACGATCTACGATTTAAAACATACGATTTACGATATACAATTTACGATATACGATTTACAATACACGAATTACGATTCTCGTATGAAATGCAAAAAACGATATTCGATATGTTGTATATTACTATATACGATATACAATTTACGATTTACGATTTAGTATTTACATTATCTGACATACGATATACGAAAAGCTCTATATATTTTTATATATGATATCCGATTTACGACTTACGATATTCGATATACGATTTACATTATAAAATATATAAATCGCAGCTTAATATTAATAATATAAAATCAATATCTTTTCGATAAGATGTCCTATATAATAGACGCTAGACTGGGATCAGATATAAAGCTATAAACAGTCAATAGAAACCAATTGAGAGATATGAGAGATAAGATATGAGATATGCATATGTATACGCAAGTATCCTGATACTATATAAGATATGCATCCTATAATTCTCGCCTTATTTCGAATTGCGTTATAAACAAATGAAAATTTTAATTTAAAATTCAAATGGCTTGCTACAGATTCTGAATATTGATAACTTATAGCGTACCTAGTAGAGCCCATTAAGATGTAGGATATGGGTGATAAGATATGAGAATTATGCTATACCTTGAACAGTCCATATAGACCGGATTCATGGGGTGTTAGACTTTACACTTTATTGTAAACTACAACATTTGAGAGGGGGGCTTGAGATGGGGGAGGGGGAGGCGGGGATATGGGTCTTTGTATATACACATTTGAGACTTATGATCTAATAATTAACGTGCGCCATCAACAGAATCATCAGCGACATCGCAGCATCCACCTGGGCTGTTGTGAGGGGGAGGGCGGGGGTTCGTAATTAGCATGAGGCATGCAATTGCAATTGCTCCCAGGGCTTAGTCACAGCAACTATACAACATCAACAACAACAATGAGAGAGAGGGGGTTAAGAGATTAGGTCATGCCATTGGCTTAGCTCATTGGCCCATGACTAAATCCAATCTTTGAATTGCAACTATTTGCGCCAGCTGCTGCCGCTGTTGGCCTTCACGTTCACATTCTTGCCCTGCTGATAGCCCTTGACATCCTTCGATTTGCCGCTGGACCAGGAGCCGCTGCCACCCATACTGCTGCTGCTGCTGCCATTGTAGCTGAAGCTGGACTTGAAGGAGGGATTGCCAAGGCTCTTGAACATGGGACTCGTCTTGCCGGCGCCGACCAAAGGCGCCGACTGATTGTAGTAGCTCTTGTTGCTGCTCTGTTGATTGTAGCCCTGGCCGGAGCCAGCGACGCTCTTCTCCGACAACTGTCGATTGTAGGCGAATCCGGTGCTGGCCAGTCCAACTGAGGCGATGCCCAGGCCCATGCCGACGCCGGAGCCCACGGTGCTCGCACCGATGCCCACGCCGCCTCCGCCAAATGTTTGCTTATGGCTGGTGCTAAAGGTGGCGCCCAGCTCCCCACCCAAGGGTCCACTCTGTGTATAGAACTGTTGCTGCACCTCGACAATATAGCGATAGGCCTCCTCCATGCTCTTCGGATTGCGGCGCAAGATCATCGAATGCGTTGGCTCTGGCAAATGATCGCGAAACACTTGCAGCGTGATGCGCTCGATATCCTCCAGCGAGTACAGGGTATCGTTGTGTGTGAGTTTGCGATTGAGCAAGCGTTGCTTCAGCTTCGCCATCTTCTGATAGTACAGCTCAATGTTCGAGTCCAGGACGGCGCTGCGTATCTTGTGTATCAGCGCGTAGCTCGACTCACGCTCGGCGAAGCTGTGCAACAGCTGCTCCTTCAGCTTGTGCCAGGACTCCGCCTTGACCGCGCCATTGGCATGGCCATTCCCGGTGCCCGCCGGCGCACTCAGTTGACGACTGAAGACCGCGTCCCTCGCCCGGTCCGTGCACTTGTTCTTAATGTGTCCTAGCAGCTGCGCCTTGTAGTACTCATCGAAGGCATTGATCGCCGGCATCAGCGCCTCGACCTTTTGCAGGAATTGCGGCAATTTGCCCGCATCGCTGCCATCGAAGTTCTCGACGAGCTTGAGGCGATTGAGCACTTGATTATATTTATTCACAAAATCGGGATCCATAGCACTCGGACGCGACAATCCATGCACGACTGCAGATTTGTGTGTAGCTTCGTTGTTCGAATCTCGTTTCAAAAATCAGATTTTCGATTCTTACGAAATGTATAAATTAACATTGATTAACGTGAACTGTTAACTACGAAGATCCACGGGAAAAAAAGAAATCTCTCAGCAATAACAATGACATCAAATAAGAAATACAAAATTCCAGCTCCCAACCGAACCGTACGAATGCGAAATTCGAATTGATATAGCAAACGGGAACGGAATAGATCGGTTGCCTAGCTCACTCGGGCTTGCGGATCGGGTCGCAGCGACTCGGCTTCTCACTCGTGTTGAACTGAAATACTCAAACGCCACTCATTGTGGTGGTGGCTTCGGTATTGGCGCTAGCGCCGATCGTGCTGCTGGTAGTGGTGCTTTTGCTGGTGTTGGTTGTGGGAGTTGTTTTGTGTACCGACTGAATCATATATGCAATCAAACAACAACAATAGCCATAAATGAGAGTGTCAAAATAGATAGTGAATGACTACGACATGCTCTATAGCTAGACAGCTACTACGACAGTTATTATTGACTGCTATTTTCCTTCCCATTTGTGTCTCTCTTTTTCCAAATTTTGCTTATGTAACTCAAGAACTCAAATATTATTAACTACATATGCAGCACTCGAGTCTATATATCAAATTTAACATTTCTAGCTCATATAATCTTTGAGCTATGCCATAAAAACACTAACTAAAAATCGATAAATATCGATTTTGCGTTCAGTGGAGCTGCTTATGACTAGAATACACGTTTTGGGGTATTTGGAAGATTTTAAACTTATGATTTTCTAGTGCTGCTATAACTATTAAGTTCTTCAAACATTTTTTTTTCAAATTTATAGCATAAGTCCTGAGAGGTATCAAGAGCCCATATATCATGATACCATATGCACATAAAATAAAGTTTTTATTCAGCAATTTGATTGATTTATTGAATAACTTATTATATATAACTCAGTATATATAAAAAATTAATCAAAATATATTAAGCTTCTTCATGCTTCAAGACGTATTCAGCAAATCGATATATATCGATTTCAGAGAAACTGTTACAATTGCTCTAGCTCTAAATATGCTTTAACCAAAAACAAGGTTCAAGGTTTATGAAGCTTCTACAGTCACTGAAATCAAGTCATGTGGCTTCGACTTTTATTGATGTCTTGGATATGGGTCATGCTCAAGTCATTCCTCTCCCCATCCGTTACAAAGCTGTGCACAGTAGCAATATACTCGGATTGCAAGGCATGCCCATATAGGGTATAATAACAGCGGGCATGACGATCGCACATATATATTCATATAGCCAAAGCAATGACAGATAGAGATAGTAACAACCCAGCAAACACACAAGCTAAACACACACGCACACACACACACAACACACACACTCATGCAAAGCAGAGGCACGCACATAGATCAACATTAAGCATATTAACGAAAAAGCGCACACAAATCGCTCGGAATCGAAGCGTAGCGTCATAAGCATATATAGTATAAATATATATATATATATATGATTTGCCAAACTGACAGATTCTTGGTTAAGATATAAATTTGAAAGATTTCTTAATTTATAGCAATTTCTAGATACTCGAACGTCTTTATATCTTTTCAAGGATTGCTAAAAGTCACTTTCAATAAGAATTTTGAAAGATAATTGAGGTAGTTTCTAGGTGCGTGTGGAGCGTTGGGGCGGGACACTACGCGGGTCAATTGAAGTCTATCAGTCAATTTACAATATGGAATAATAAAATCAGTTAGAAAGTCTTCACATCCAATTCAATTGCTTTTTAATTTGCACAGTTTTTTTCTCTTTTTTTCTAAACTCTTCCAAGCAAAATACGTACAAAAATCAAAAATCAAAATTAAATAAATAAAATTCTCTTCGCTGGCGTTTGTATTGGTCATTTACATTGATCTATTAACAATATGCTGTTAACTGTGTGTATTCGAATGTGTAAATAACATAATTTCAAGAGCATTTAGCGTATTGAAGGCACAGTCACTTAACAGTTAAAGACTTTGTTCCCGCATCATACATAGACTCGTAACATTCATATATGGCAGCAAATAACCGTGAAGAGGTTTCCTTTTAGTTATTATTCTAATATATTAGAAACATCGGAAAGTTCGAGTGTTTTGATAGAATGTTTTTCAGTCAAAGAATTTATACGACATTAGCATTGACCTTGCTCCATCTTTCCGGGCAGCTGTTGGATGCTCGTTCCTTAAGCGCTTCTTTCCAATTATCATACTGGAGAACAAACTGTTCGAATATGGGCAGAAATGAATCTGTATCAAACATATATATAGAGCATCTTAGGTATGCAAATAAATATTTGTTGGAAATTAACTTTACTGAAACTCTAACTCTTAAAGGCTAAGATCTTATAGTTGCATTGGAGCATAATCTTACAATATTCATGCTGTAGGGTAGATATCGTATATCATGTCAAGTAATATATAATCCTCTCTCTCTCCATCTCCCTCTCTCCAACTCTCATTGGCCTCTTAGCCGCTCTCTTTCACTCTGTCTGAGACACTCTTTGTCGTTCTTTCTCTCTGTCTCTCCCTCTCACTCTCTGCTTCTATTTTACTTAGCTGAGTCTCTCTCTCTCTTCAACTCTCAGAGGCACCCTTTACCCCTCTCTCACACTATTTGTCGTTCTTTCTCTCTGTCTCTCCCTCTCACTCTATCATACCCATCTGAGCCCATCTCCCTCTCTCTCTCTCTCTATCTCTTCAACTCTTAGAGGCACCTTTTGCCACTCTCTCACACTCTTTGTCGTTCTTTTTCTCTGTCTCTCCCACTCCCTCTCACTCTCTTCTTCTCTCTCACTTTGCTGAGACTCTCACTCTCTCTCTCTCATATGCTCAATCTCTTACTCTCTCATAGACATTTCTTGGCGTTCTCTCTCTCTCCTCTTTCTCTCCCTCTCTCTGAGACTCTATGACTCTCTCTCTTTCTCTTTCTCTCGCTCACTCCCCTAAGACGCTCCATGTCTCTCTGTATCTTCACAGTTATCTACCCCTCTGCCCCTCTATTTCTCTCTCTCTTTCTCTCTCTCTCTTTCTGTTTCTGTTTTTAGTATTTTCAATATTTTCATAAGAATTATATGCCAAAACTCTTTGGAAAACTTTTTTTTTTTTTTTTTTTTTTTTTTTTTTTCGTTTTTATTTCTTTATTTTGTTGCAGCTTATTGTCTTAGACTCTATAGCGCATTTAGCTCTAAACCTTAACTAATGGGAGGGCAGATATGCCAATTATTCTGCACTTGTAGCTACTATCTTAATTAGTTCTAATATTGTCTAGAGGATGCAATCTCTTCAGTCTTCGCCTATTGTTGTTTATAGCCAGGTTGCTTGCGAGATGGTTAGGATGCGCTGCAAGTCTGTCCGCGTATCTTGAACTGTGTCGCCCAATGAGTTCAGCAACTGTGGGAATTGCTAAATCCCTATGTAAGACTGAGTTTCTTACAAACCAGCTGGCTCCAGTCCATCTGCGTAGTGCTTTATTCTGCAGGGTCTGAATTTTGTTCCTTGTAGTCTTCGCCGAGGAGCCCCATAGAGAGATACCATATACGAAGGTTGGGACAACTATTGCCTTGTAGATGGCGGCCTTGCTGCTGTAAGACAACTTGCTTGAAGCTCTCAGCATCCAGTCGAGGGTTTTTAGCTTGCTTTTGCATTTTGAGGTTACTTGACTTATGTGCGCTTTAAAAGTCAGCCTTCTGTCAAGAGTGATACCAAGGTACTTTACTTTTGAGGCTTTGGGAATAGTGGGCCCCAATGCAACGCTTGGGCAATCTCCTCTTCTAGTGGCGAAGGTAGTATGTACAGACTTTTGTGCATTAATGGTGATACACCACCGTTTTGCCCAGCGTCCGAAAGAGTCCAGATATTTTTGTAGTGAGTCTGAAGCTTCTTGCGCAGATACGTGACGTGATAAGATGGCGGTGTCATCTGCATAGGTCGCTATGAGTACTGCATCTGTACTTCCTATATTTGGCTCGGGAGTTGGCATATCTCCTGTGAATAAAGTATAAAGTGTTGGGCCTAGAACACTACCCTGTGGTACTCCAGCCATAATTGGTCTAGTCAAGGATACTGTTTGCCCCCTTGACACTTGGAAGGTTCTTCCAATAAGGTATGAGGATAGCAACGCGAAAAATGGGGCTGGAAGGGTGGTCCTCACTTTCTGCAGCAGTCCCAGGTGCCAAACTCGATCAAACGCCTGTTTGATGTCTAAAAAGACGGCAGAGCAGTACATCTTTTCTTCAAAGGCTCCAAGGATATGGTGCACAACTCTGTGAACCTGTTCCGGTGTTCCATGCTGTCTCCTGAAGCCAAACTGATGGTTTGGAATGGCCTCCTGGCGTCCCAGATGTGTCAGTACTCGTTCCAGAAATATTCTTTCGAATATTTTGGAGAGTACTGGCAACAGGCTAATTGGTCTGTACGACTCAATTTCTCCCACGGGTTTGCCAGGCTTAGGAATCATCACAATCACGGCGCGCTTCCAGCAGGCTGGAAAGTGCCGGATGCGGAGCATGGCGTTGTACACCATAGTTATGTAGTCTATGGTGGAGTCAGGCAGTGCTCTAAGGACTCTGCCGTTTATTAGATCATATCCAGGGGATTTTTTTGCCTTCACTCTTCTGATGTGTTCAAGAACCTCTTCTTTTGTACATCCAGTTATCTGGTCTTCAGCTGGGAGGGGCGAGAGAACGATGTCTTCTGTTGCTTCGATTTCTGAGGCCTCTGCGGTAATCACCGGCGTGAATTGGTCTTGAAGGTGGTTTGCAAAAGCCTCAGCTTGAGCTTCGTCTCCAATGTGCCAGGAACCAGAAATGCTCCGAATGGGATGACGTCGTATTGGCTGCCGTTTGAGCTTTCTTGTAAATTTCCATAATTGAAACTCTGCGTCAGTGGGCGATTCAGCTCGTACCAGCGCATCGCTGATACACCTCTTTTGAAGCAGGGCGAGAGCAGCTTTAAGATGCCTCGTGGCTTCGTTGTACATGGATTTGGCATCAGGCGTGCGTAATCTTAACCAGCGTCTCCTGGCCCATCTTTTGTGTATTAGTAGGTGTTGGGCCTCCAAGGTGAGGGGGATGTTGTACGGAGACTGTTGTCTTGTTTGGCAAGATGGTGGGGCGGCTTGGTGCGCAGCTTTGACTATTTCTT